TGTTGTTGTTGTTGTTGTTGTTGTTGTTGTTGTTGTTGTTGTTGTGTGTGTGTGTGTGTGTGAGGTTTTTTAGTTACGTTTGTTTTTTGCTAAGTAATTAACCAATCGCCTTGCCTACCAGAGTGGCCCAGGACCGCTAGCCTGGCCGGGCCAAGTCGTTCAGTTTATTCTTCTGCATAACATAGTGTTTTTCGTTGTTGTTTTTTTCGTGTTTTTTAACCTTTTTTTTTTCTTTTTTTTTTTTAATTTATATGCAGGGACGATCCCTGGCCCTTGCTCAGCCAGGCCGTCCAGGCCACCAAGGTGATCCTGGCCGCCAGGTTTGATTGCATTGGTTGTAGGTTCAACTTTTTTTTTTTTTTTTTTTTTGCAGGGACGATCCCTGGCCCTTGCAATCCAGGTTGGTAGCCCAGCCAATCACACAAATTGGATTGCATTGGTTGTAGGTTCAAACTTCAAATCCTACAAAAATTTCAGAAATTAGTTCATAAAAAAAAAAAAAAAAAAAAAAGAAAAAAAAACAGAGTCGGATCCTGGCTCAGAATGAATGCTAGCGAACCTGCTGAGAAGGCTCAAGCTCGTCATGAAAGGGGATCACTGGGAATAGCCAGTTTCTGATAGCCAGTGGTAATAGCCGGTTTCTGATAGCCAGTGGGAATAGCCAGGTTCCGATAGTCAGTGGGAATAGCCAGTTTCCGATTGGCAGTGGAATAGCCAGTTTCCGATAGCCGATAGCCAGTGGGAATAGCCAGTTTCCAATAGCCAGTCGGAATAGCCAGTCGGAATAGCCAGTCGGAATAGCCAGTGGGAATAGCCAGTCTCTGATAGCCAGTGGCAATAGCTGCAACCGTGTCTCTGATACGCAGTTGTCCAGACTGAATATGCCACGGAGGCTTACTCAGCACCTTAACGCACCCAGAGAAGCGATGGGATCATGACAACACGACACATATGGCCTTGCTAGCTTTCCCCTGAGGCAGATTGATGGAGCTGGGGTTCAGACCATCCTAGTGGTTGGTTGTGCCGGTGCTGATTCCTGGTTTAGTGGGTGTATATATAGAGTGTCGCTTGCTTGTATGTATGGCTGTGATGAACTGGTTTTCTGGATTTATTCTCCGTCTTGTCAGGGGGTCTGAACTTTGAATTAAACAGTCTCTGTTTGGATTGCAAGTTTGATCTGAGTAAAATATACTTATGGCTGTTGCTCTCTCTCTCTCTCTCTCTCTCTCTCTCTCTCTCTCTCTCTCTCTCTCTCTCTCTCTCTTTCTCTCTCTCTCTCTCTCTCCCCTCTTGTTCTTCTTCTCTCTCTCTCTCTCCCCTCTTGTTCTTCTTCTTCTCTCTCTCTCTCTCCTCTCTTATTCTTCTTCTACATGTCTTCTATACACTTATGGTTGTTGCTTCTTCTTCTTCTTCTTCTTCTTCTTCTTCTTCTTCTTCCACCTCCTCCTCCTCCTCCTCCTTCTTCTTCTTCTTCTTCTTCGTTCTTCTACTCCTGCTTCTTTCTCCTACTCCTGCTTCTGCTTCTTCTTCTTCTTCTTCTTCTTCTTCTTCTTCTTCTTCTTCTTCTTCTTCTTCTTTTGCTTTTGCTTCAGGGTTCTGTGTTGCTGCATCGCGGCTAGGCCTGCCTGATTGCGGGCTAATTTCTTATGGTGAGATGGTGGAACAAGCATTCCTGATAGCATCTGCAGTTTCGATTCCCGTCATTGCTGATGGAGATACTGGGTATGGCAATCCGTTGAACGTCAAAAGGACTGTTCGGGGCTACATGCAGGCTGGAGTTGCAGGGATTCTCATTGAAGATCAGGTACGACGCAACATATATACATGCTGCCGCCTGCTGCTGGTGCTGATTTTACGTTGGAACTTGGAAACTCATTGTTTCTTCCCCCC